ACCTTCAAGGAGTGTATAATTAATACATAAATGTGAAGTTAATGAACATCACACAGTAGTCGGTTGTGAAGCTGTATTAGAAGATTCTTTGGTGCTGGCACTGAGCAAAATAGTCAAGAAGAGTTACATATACAAAAAAAATTGTGCCATTGTGATAGGTGAGTGATAGATAGGCATGGCCATACAGGTTAACCAAGAAGTACTAAGGTCTATTTCCATCATTGTTTGATTAGTGTTCAACTCCCTTTTTAGACTGTGCTCCAAGAAGTCAGGGTGCACATGAGTTTTCATTGACCATTGTATTTCTAAGATCTAGCAGAGTACTGGCATAAAGTAGCTAATTGAGCACTTGCTTTGCTCAATAGTCTCTACTTTTTCAAAGGCTAGATCATTCTCATCCTCATCTCCAAGCTCAGGTGTCTCCTCTTTCAAGATGCCTTGCAGAGTGCCCCCTCTGTTATTTCTTTTCTCAATCCCTAGTTTATTTTCTTTGCAAAACATATCACCACTTATTTGGCTCTTAACTAGTTCTTTTACCTGTCACTCCCACCAGACCTGATGGTAAACCTCTGTCCCTCTGTTTTGGTCCTGGTTGCAGCCATAGCACATATCACAGCACCTGGTACCCTTTCCCTGGAGAGGCTCTTACCTAATAGCGGTCTTTTCTTAACCCTAACATAGCTTCTCCCAATCCTTATCGTGGTTTATTTTCTCTCTAGCACTAATATTTTCTGAAATTATTCTGTGTATGTAGTTATGCCATATTCAAATTGTAAACCCCATGAGGACAGAGCCTAGAGCCATTTCTACCTGATTCATTGCTATATCGCCAAGGCTTAGTAGGGGGACTGACACAAACAGTTCTTGAATGTGCAAGTATTTAGCAAATAAAAGGTGATGGCACAAATAAAAGACCTAATTTTTTTAAAAAAGCAAAGAAAAGAGATTAGTTAGCTAGGATGGCAAAACAAGTGTTAGCTTAGAATTGTGAGGGTGAAAGCAAGATCTATTTTCAATGAAAAATAATGACTGGAAATCAAAGATAGAGAAGTGACAAGGACTAAACCAGAAGAGCAGTCTGAAGACTTTATCTACAAAACTGTGGGCAAACATCTGTACACAATTTGACAGCTTCTTTTTCTTTTTTTTTTCTTTTTTCTTGTTTTTTTAAAATAATAATAATTATTATTATTTGCCTACAGGTGCGTGCCACCACGCCCAGCTGTGGTTTCGTGCCACCACGCCCAGCTGTGGTTTAATGAGAGAGACAAGTGAAACAATGGTTAGACCAAGACAGTAATCTAAGGTCATTTAGAGCCAGGACAAGCTGAATTACTTGCCATCTTGCAAAAACACTCATGACACTGGAGAGACCTAGGTTTGGCTTTTACTCTTCTATTTATAGCCATATTACAGTGGGTAAGGCAGGTGCCTTCTGTGAGCCACAGTGTCTCCAATTGCAAAATGAGAAAAATAAAACCTGCCCTGTAGTATCATTTTTAAAATAGAACAAAGAAATACACATAAAAGGCTGCACCTAGTACAGAACCTACTTCATGTGGGAGATCATTGAATAGTGGTCATTGTTAGAATAGTGCATCAATTACACTGCCCAACTAGAAGGGTGGCAAGCAAAACATTTAATCATATTAGTAAAGGAAGATGTATTTCCTTTCATTTAAGTAACTTTAAAGGACATCTATTTTAGATTATTGCATGAGCAACCTATTGATCATAATATATAATTGTCAGTAAGGGCATGATTAATCATAAACTACTGACTTGAAAAAGAAAAATAATTAATTATGATAATTATTATTCTTTCTCATTGTATATAATTGAGGCTTAGAAAGTAAAATTGAAAAAAATCTTTCACTGATTCTGAGTTAATTAGCATACCTTGCAGGTATTTACATTAAAACACCCAAATGTTCTTCCTATATTTTGTTCTAAAAGAAGAAGAGATTTGAAGAGCTCTCCATTTCAGGCTAAGGCTAATTGAAAGGCAGATAATACATGATTAGTTGAGGTATTTGTTCTGAGTGTGTAGTTGTTAGAGTGAATTTTTCATTTGAAGATAAATATAGTATTAAAAGTCCAGGAATCTCTGAGTTGGGAATTAGGGCAGAGAGCAGTCAGCAAATCATACATTTGTAAAATAATTTGGAACCTTTTTCAGAAAACTGATTTCTGAGTAGTCTGTCACCTAGACAATTTCATAACGATGCTGATTTGCCAACTTCTCCTCCAGCAAGAGGCAATAAATCAAGTGTACCTGGGTTTATATGGGGAAAAAACATATTAATTGATTTATGCATATAACATTGCAGATACCCATAAAGCAAAGCCTTTGGCAACTGGCAAATGTAAAATTTCACATTTACCTATGGCTCACCAAGTACAATCCACTGCTTAAAGGCAAAATTTTATGTTTTATTTTTAGTTTTTACGATTGCTTCCATATAGTCTCTCTGTGCATTAAAAGTCCATTTTCAGAACCATAGGTTTACCAATTTTTATGAGTAAAAATTTTATGAGATATTATACTGAGGTAGCATAAAATTATTTTCTGATAATTTTTACCACCTTCAGAACTCTCCTGTTACTTTGTTTCCACATATGCCTAAGGATATCATTTGTAATACTTTTAAATATGACACATTTCATTAGAAATATGATATATTGCACAGAGATATTATATGAAGCTTCAACTTCATAATAATGTTACAGATATAGTTTTTAATGTTGGTTACATTGACAATTCTATTTAAAATCAAATATAAAGAAGGATATTTAATAAAATGATTAATGATTTTTATATTTACAGGCAATGTGTCATCTTCTGATCATAATTATGAGCAAAAAGAATTAATCCTTTAAGTGAAGGGCTTTTTGTAACAGTTACTTAAACACTCCATTGATGCACAGAGGAAGACTTAAGATAAAATAGTTCATTAGGTTTCTATGCCAAAATTATTGTTACCCATATAGATTTTCTTGTGTTTTTGCACTGCCTTAAGTCATATACATAATATAAAAGTTTTACCATTTAATGATATGCACAGCCGCAGTATGTTGGGAGTACAAATCTTACCATCACATAAGTTCCAAAGAAACATAAAAAATGTCTTTTTAGCAAGCTGTGAAGTTTGATAGCCATCACTAGTGGGCTCTAAATCATCTCAAAAGCCATTCTGTTTTTCCATGCAAAGATATAGGAATCTGACATCAGAGTGCCTAAACATGATGAAAAATATCCTCAGGTGAGAAAAGCGAAGTGCAAAGAAGTTAGGGAGATAGTATTCATTACTAGAAATATGATAAGTTTAGAGCCAAATCTATGCATTGGCAGTAAAAATTCTAAGAGGGCCATAAACCATCTAGACTTAAATGCCTATCTCAGCCTGCATATTTTGTAGGCTTTGTCAATGACTTGCAGGATAAACATAGGACCACTTCCATTCCATCACTTTGCAATGTGTGTTAGACAGGATTCCCTCCCCAGGTGCTCCAGGTAGCAAAAAATTCTGAGAAAATATTATTTCAAGATGAGCTGCAACATACCACTGAAAGTCAACCTTTCATTACAGATATAATTTAGCATCAAACAGGAAGACATATCGGCATGATAGTTGGACTTAAAGTGGGTAGATAATTGCAACATTAGGCCTGATGGGGGAAAATGTCATGAAAAATCTTACTGTGGTAAACAAAAGAAGTCTTTTCAATCAGACTGTCCTGGGTACAAATCCTTTTGGCATCAGTTGTGCAGCATTGGACAAGCTATTTAACTGCTCTCTGAGCCTCAGTTTACTCCCAAGTAAATTAAGAAAAATCCTACCTACCATATATATTTGCATGTGGTTTACCATAGATTAAATATATCAAATACCTGGCACAGAGCAAATTCATGACAAATGTTTGCTTGCTTAGTCTGAATTGAATATGAAAATACAGTCAATCTCCTATATAGGATTTTCTTGAAGAGTCCTCAGTAATATGAAGGGAAATGTATTGGAATATAGTTCGGGGGCTACTGATTGAATTTCATCTGATCTCTTTCAGTAATCTGTTGGATGATATGGGAGGATTCCTGTAACCTCCTTGACTGTCATTGTCTGTAACTATAAATGGAAGAGTTTAGTTTGATTCTTTATTTATCAATGTTATTTTATATTCTTTGAGAATAGATGCTTTGCATCTAGTGAGCATTGACTAACTGTTGAATTAGTTCATTAATAGTGTGATCCCTACTATGGGGAACTTGAGTATATCATTGGGAACTTCTGTGAGAAATGTGGACGTTGCATTCACTCTATTCATGCTATGTGGAATCTATGAAACAGATTTGCTGTAGCCACCTCAGGCTTTGAATGGATTGTGTCGGTATAAAGATAGGCAACTGCCAACAAGCATGTAAGGTTCTTCACTCTAGCATGTGGACTTGTTTTCCAAAAAGACCCTGAGAGTGATAGAATCTCTCTCCCATAGGTGTCCAACAAGGAAAGTAATGTATTTTAGACTTTTCTTGGCCGTGGACCTCTGGACTAACAATAGTTTCAGAAAATTTTTTAATTCACTAAGGGAATAATTCTCCAACAACAAAATGTATTTTATTCTTTCCTTCCCTGTAACCTGCTCCAGTGTATCTCATTTTCCTAGTCTTTCCTCTCTTACATGAGGGTGGATAATTTTTCTCTAGAGCTCAGAGGATGAACACTCTTACTCTTAACCTAACACTCATTGAAGAAAAGCATGGAAAGCCTGCCAGTTCAAACCCATTGCTCTAAAGGTCTTACTTTCTGTTACATATTATCACAGCGTGGTCCATAGGGGTCAGAGACAGAGGTTGCTTCAGAACCTGAAGTCTTTACTAAAAAAGATGAAAACAGAAAGAAACCACACTGGGTACAGAGCAGTGAGGATCCAACCTATTGTTTCTAAAAGCCTGCTACATTCAAGACACAGTGAACTTAACCCAGTTTTGTTTTGTTTTTTAGAAGAACCACCATCTTGACTTCACAAAGAGTTATGGTCAGAATATTTAACTACGGGTACAGCAGCAGTACTGACCAAAGAGAATAGATACTGCGCAATCAGAATGGACACCAGCTGTAAACAACCATTGTATCCATATTGGTGCACACTGGCTTTTAACATTTGCCATTGCAAAAACTACTGAAAATATTAAAAGGGAATCTCACATGTCAGAGTCCTCTGTTCTACTAAAATTCAAGTTATTTTATGCTAACAAAATTATTTGAAACTAATCTAATCATAGTCTCTCTCCAGATACTGCCTCTTTGCCCTACTCCGACTAACAGCAAAGCTCCTCATTAGAGTTCCGTATTTATTTCCTGTACTTCTCACCTCCCATTTTCTCTTGAACCAACTCCAATCAGGCCTTTGTGCCCAATGTCAGCTTCCTCAGGAGCTCAAAGGTCTTATCAATATCAACAACCCCCATTTTGCCAAATCTGATGGTTAATATTCAGTCTTTTTATTACTTAACCTTTCAGGGGCATTTGACACGAGTCAATCATGCCTTCCCTTTTGAAACATTTTTTTACCTGGCTTCTAGGACACCACTTTCTCTTGTTCTTCTAATGCATGTCATTTCTTTTCAGTTTTCTTTACGGGATTCTCTTCCAGCTTATAAATGAGGGAGTGCCTCAGTCAGTCCCTGGCCTCTTCTCTTGGCTTTCTATGCTCCCTTTCTAAATAATTTTATCCAATTCTGTGGCCTTAGATCAATAGACTGGTGAGTCCACATCTATATCTCCAGCCTTGTGCTCTCCCCAAAGATTCTCAACTGCCTACATAATATACCTCCACTTGGATGTCTAATAAGCCCTTCCATATTAGCATATTCTGAGCTCTCTGGATTTCTTACCCACTTCTCTATTTTCTGCAAGTGTATTGGTTCTCCAATGTCTCCCTTCTCAGCAAATGCTATTACCATTTCCTGGTTGCTCCAGCCATTCAGAAATTCAGTTGGTGATGCCTTCAAAATACACCTTGATCTGATCACCTGGCCACCCTTATTTAAATTGCCATCATTTCACACCTAAACTACTGCAACAGTCTCCTAATAGATTTTTACCCCTCCTGCAGTTGGTTTATAACTGTTCACATCACTCACACTCCCATGACCATTGTTACCTTGCTGTTTCTTCAATACAGTCGTCTTATTTCCTCTTCAGGGCCTTTGCACTTGCTCTTTCCTCTAACTGATATAATCCTCCTCCAGAGCTTCTCAGGGCTTCTTCTTTCATATCAGTCAGTACTCCACACAAAGGTCATCCTCAGAGTTTTCTTTTTAATAATTAAAATAGAAGCCACACCCAACTCACTATTCTCCATCCCCTTTCTCTGCTTTATTTGCTTCAGAGCACTTATCACTATTTGACATCATATTATCTTGCTATTTTCTGATTGGTCTGTCTCCCCAAATAGAATATATGCTCCATAAGACATTCCAGAAAAATGTATAATCGTAGAACTAAAACCATTGTGAAGAACTCTGGAGGTCATTCACCTCTACCCACCATCTAATATTTTAGATCAACTTTGTATACTCTCCCTTATTTGTAAAGTGAATATTTTTATATTGAATCACATTTCCTACTGATCTCCATCATCATTATTTTTTCATGGAGAAAAATGACCTCAATATTAAATAAAAATGTTACCAAGGACAATAATACCTACTCTTGACAGTATGCAATTAATTTTCCTATACAGCCCACAGAAGAAATTATTCATTCAGACAATTGAATGTGACCATTCCTGGCAGCATGTGTGCAGCCAGAACAGATTCTGGAGCAGTGACATTTTGTACCAAATATGCAAATATAATAAAGCAGCAAATAAGTAGGAGCTATGTGCTATTGAACTGTAGCCAGAGCCTGAACAAGAACACAAATATGTTGTCTAATAACTTTGTTCCGCTAGATTTCACTCATTCCTTATTGGAGGAGCACTCATTTGAGTAAGAAATATGCCAATTTATATAGTTAACTTTCCTTCTTCTTAGGAAGTGCTAACTAGATCAAGTTGTTTGATAACTGATGAAGGTGATCCAGGATGACTTATCATTGAGTACGTTTCTTTAGACTTTGCACTAACTTTAGTTATCAGCAACTCTTCATAGCCAATTATTTGTACCCCCTATCCCCTTTTATTGGTGTCTTTAAGATGTTAAGCATTCTTTCCTGTGTAGTGGTTAACCATATTTGCCTAGTGAGGGGGTATTGATTTTCCATTATTCCTAGATGCCACATGGTACATTTCTATTAGTTGTAAACACTTATAAGACTGACTTATATTTTGTCCTTCATCACATCAGTCTGCCAGGGCAGGACGTCTTTAAATGAGGCCCATTGCATTTCATCAGACAGGTTTCTACCTTGGCACTTAAAGGAATGATGTTTTCAAGGTGTCTAGATGTAAGGAAGTTTGCTTTAAAAACCCGCTGCTATCTTGCCAGAGCCTCAAGGCAAGGCCTCTGAAAAGTAACAGACTGTACTTACTTTTCAGGCCTCTTCTGGGCTTGACTTATTTGCTTTTTCTATAGGCACTAAACTATTACTTATATTTAATTTATATATATTGACTTCAGAATTTTCCAGAAAAATTCATATTGGCCTTTGCAAGTAAGAAAAATTATTGATGAATAAAAGACATTAAACCACCCTATAAAATAGATCCTTAGGATAATTAAATTGTTTCAGCAACAACAATTTTGAGAGTTCATTGGTGTTTTAGAGCATACAAAAGCACATGAAAAAGTGAAATTTTAAACAACATTTCAAGTAAGGGGTTAAGTTTGATTTGGATCTGTTTTAGTGATGAATGAGGTCTGCCATCTTTACTACTTGTTGAAAAAAGCCTACTTGAACCAGAAAGTCTAGATTTTTCTCCACAGATTTTAATTTCTTTAAATAGCATAAGTTCCTCCTGAGAGAAAACTCCAAAGGGTTACAAAATTAATTTGCTCTTGAAGGGAAAAACAACAGTAAATATTAAGAGAAAATGAGAATACAACATATGAGAAAAGAGGAGTTGTCAAAGGATATCTAGGAAGTAACCTCCCGCAACGTCTCTATTGTTCATCCTTCACATTTACCGCAGGGCATCTCTTACATTCAGCCTTGCCTTAATGCTCCTCCTGCTGTCATTCACTGTTCGAAATGATCACCGGACCTTTAAAAAATCACATGTTGGTTTATATTCTCTTTCCTTGTTCTCTCCCTTGGTTAGACATGTCTCATGAACTTCTTTGCATTTACATGATGACGAAAAGGGTGACTTGGATCACCCCAACAAACATTTTTAACCAACTCTCCAAACATTTACTGCCTCTTCTCATGATATTTACAATGACTTCCACTCTCTCTAATTATCCACTCCTTTCCTCTGTGATCAATGACAAATGTCTCAATCTTTGTTTCACTCTGTATAATTCCAGTACAACTAGTTTATAGGGGAAAAATAAGACACCAATTTTTAATAATTAATATAAGATTGATGTATAATGTTTATTTACAAAAACTAGTATTTATTGTGTTGTTTCTATTTACTTATATCCATCTTGTGTTTCCATTTATGTGAAACCACAAAGGGATTCTTTTTTTTTTTTTTTTTTTGAGACAGAGTCTTGCTCTGTCACCCAGGCTGGAGTGCAGTAGTGCAATCTCAGCTAACTGCAACCTCTGCCTCCCGGGTTCAAGCGATTCTCCTACCTCAGCCTCCCAAGTAGCTAGGACTACAGGCATGAGCCACCACGCTTGGATAATTTTTGTATTTTTAGTAGAGATGGGGTTCCATCATATTGGCCAGGGTGGTCTCGAACTCCTGAACTCAAGTGATTTGACTGCCTTGCCCTCCCAGAGTGCTGGGATTACAGGTGGGGATTGTTATATATCTTCAACCTTCAGAGAGTTCCATTCATCAATTCAACAAATATTTGAGTTCTTACTATATACTGAGCATTATTTCAGCCATAGAAAATACAGCAGTGAACAAAACAGAAAGAAATTCCTCTAAGCTCCCTGGAGCTTACATTAATAAACAAATAAATAAGCAAAATCAAGGTTTCTATGTCAAGGTTTCTATGGATTTATTTGGCCAAGTGATACTAGGGCAACTTTGCCAATTAGAAGAAGTACAGTGCTTCTAACTTTGCCAATTAGAAGAAGTACAGTGTTGCTGAAAGAAATCAGGCACTCGAGTTTCTTAATAAGAAACAAAAATATCACCCAAAGCCTGAGTACAATTCTCCAGGCCACCACTGCTCACTGTCATCTGAAATTCGGTTGCTAGGACACTGCTAAGCATAGCAAAGCTAAGGACACTTTACAAGCTGGGGAAATTTTCAGTAGAATGATGTTATGATATTCCTAGATCTAAATTCAGTTATGAAATATGGGGGGATAGAGATTAACATAGAAAGAAATAAATATATCTGTAAAGTTGATGTTTGATATCATTCAAGCTTAATAATCTAATGCCTATAAAGAGAAGATATACAAATTATTACATTGAAAACTGTTGGCATTTTATAGTAACGTTTAAGAATCTATTGTCAACTCTATTCTAAATGGTTATCAACTTTTCACTAAAATCTAATCTAATCTATCAATTTTCTCATAAACCAGGTGGATAATTTTTAGCCTAGAAAATACAACTTTTATTCTGATACTATGGCTTTAGTTTTGCAGAGTGGAGTAATCATTACATTTTTATCCTCTAACGCTTCTCTAAATAGAAATGAGTTCTCTTCATTTGATTTGGGAAATTGAATGCCAGTCAGGGAATTCAAAACAGTGTTGGTTTCAAGCTTGAGTTCCCCTGAATAGTACCAAATTATTTTCCTTGACCCTGAGGCATGGGTCTCAATGAGAAAACATTGGGAAATTATGAATCCAAGATATCCTGAGATGATCTTGCCTGTATACTTAACATCAAACTGAAATTCTGTGTCTAACGTGGCTCATGAGTAATAGGGATCAGTAACTGATTTTCATAGGCAAAAGTAAACCATCCATATATGTAAAAAATAAGATTGTATATATATCATGACACTGTCCTTTTATTTTTATATGGGAAATACACCCATATGAATAAAAATTAACTGTTCATCATATATGAAGCAAGATGCAAAGTTAGAAGTCTGTTCACACTGTGTACATTACCTTGAACTGATGAGAACTGGAGTAGCGTAATACTATGTGCCTAAGTAATTCTCACATCACTGAACCACCGATCTGATAGACCTCTGCAGTTATTGTAAGATTTAATAGCAGAGAATAAGAAAGCTGTGAATTACTAAACACCGATAACACTTCTTAAAGAAGAAAATAAATGAATATTTCATAGTATACAATCCCAGGATTAGCCTGTCTACCATGGGTTTTGTAGCTGAACACCTCTTGCCTCATCATTCCCTTAATTCAACATTTTTATCTTGTATTCAAAATATGTATTTTACATTTATGTAGAAGGAAAGAAAGCCATGACTCTCATAACACTTCTATACAATCTGTGTATAAAACTGGCTATACATCCATAGTTATGATGCCAAGAGAATCTCAGTGTTTGCTGTGAATCACCCATTAGTCAAATCTCTCCACTCATCAGAGTCTGGTTAGAAGCCAACTATCCCTGGGGCAGTTGTTTCTTGAAGAAAGTGTTAAGTTGGTCTTCTTGTTTACATCAAGGTAGTATGAATCAAATGACATCCCTGTGACACACACACACACAAAAAAAAGAGGGAAAATAGTTTAAAGCCTGTCATGTAACTGGCTTTTGGTGACGACTGCCTTCAGTGATTCTCAATTAGAACACATACAGCAGATAAAAATAATTCCAGTTCTGAATTAAAAGCAGGAAGTGATGTCACTTTCCATAGTTAAAGGCAGCATGGCCTAGCAGAAAGTATGTATTTTTTGGAACCAGATAAAACCTCAGCTCTGCTGCATGGCACCTATGTCACTTTGGACAAGTGACAGCTTCCCTGAGGCAGATGTTCACATCTGCAGGTGGATGTGTTAATTAGCTTGATTGTGGTTATCATTTTATAATGTATGCATATATCAAGACATCACATTGTGACCTTAAATATTTGTAATTTTTATTTGTCAATTATACTTCAATAAAAAATGGGATAATAATAGCAAGCAGGATGGTTTTGTATGTAAGTATATACATGAATATACAGTCTAGGATGATAATAGAATGTTGCAGATGCTCCATAATTTATAACCCAAATGTCCACAGATTTCCTCCGCCATCGGTTACACATATTGCTGGCTATGCCTCCCACCTGCATAGCAGCAATGTCTCCCTCACACTGTTAAAGTCTTTCACGCACAGTGTGACCCACATTGCACAAGAAACCAGTAAGCTCCTGTTCTTCTGTCTTCGTGAAGCCAATGCTTACATGTCTCTGAGGGAGGTGCCCTTCTCAACAGCCCTGTTCCAGGCACCCTCTGGGAGGACTGTGCTCTGGCCCAAGTCCCGGTCAAAGGCCCCAAGGGGCCAGTGTTCTGCAATGGATAAGGTCAGAAAGGAGAACATGGCTTTCTTCCTTTTTCTCCTGGACCTTGAAACAGCCAATGTGTGGCCCTCCTGGAAACATACCTATCCACTTCCTTTGCTTCACTGTCAGGATAAACTTGACCTTGATATTATGCCAGGAAATAAACCATTTTTGTTGGACATTCACCTGTCTTTCACCTCTATCTCCAGCAGTGTGCTAATGTTATCTCATCCTCCCAAGGAGCTTGTGAGGCTGACATATTAAACACCAATTTATACATGAAGAGACTGGAACCTAGACAGATTCAGAATACCATCCCCACTCTCTCTGCTTTCTATCTCCTTTAAACACCTGAGGTTTCATCAGCCTAGGATGTCCATTTCCTTATTTATTTTTTTATTTATTTTGAGACAGAGTCTTGCTCTGTCACCCAGGCTGAAGTACAGAGGCACAATCTTGGTTCACTGCAACCTCTGCCTCCCGGGTTCAACCAATTCTCCTGCCTCAGCCTCCCAAGTAGCTGGGATTATAGGCACGCACCACCACACCTGGCTAATTTTTGTATTTTTAGTAGAGATGGGGTTTCACCATGTTAGCCAGGATGGTCTCAAACTCCCTATCTCAGGTAATCTGCTCACCTGTCCCACCCAAAGTGCTGGGATTACAGGGGTGAGCCAACACGCCTGGCCAGGATGTCCATTTTCTATTAAATGAGCCCCATGTGTCCTGCGAAATGTTAACAATTATCATTATTACTTTTCTGCTCCAAGTTAAATTAGGCCAGAGTTTACACTCACTTAAAAATGATGAGTCTGAAGAGATATGTAGAGTAGGAATTGAAATGTAAAAATCAGAATAGTAGAGAGAGAGAATGGAGGGTAAGCCTTTAGGAGATTAAGTAAAAGAGTTTGGAAAAACAAAATCGTGATTATAAAAAGTAAAATAGAAAGGATGAATATGAAAGACTTTATGAATGAGTCATTATCTATTTTTTTTATCTTCTTTTAAAAAATTCTTACATGGCACCAGCTGCTTCTCTCACACTTCACACCCCCAGGTCCAAACTACTTTCTCTGAGCCCTTTCTTTAAAAAAAGAAAAAAAAGTAAAGTAATCTTCCAGATAAAAACTAAGACTTGTTCCTCCCCCTCTTTCCTTTACTCTCCATTTCCATAACTTATCTTTCTCTGTGAAAGTACAGGTGGGAAATAATCAAGGAAATGTGTGTGTGTGTGTGTGTGTGTGAGAGAGAGAGAGAGAGAGAGACAGAGAGAGAGAGAGAGATTTTGATCATAGTCTACAAGAAATCTCTAGAGACTGCTTTCAAACTAAAACCAATTTCATACCCAATAGAAAACTTTAGCTTCATTGAAGGAAATGCTAAATGGGAGCATTCAAAAGTGTTTTTCTAGAAAGAAACCAGTTCTGAATACACTTGCCCAATTACTACCAATAAATCTTCTCTTCCTTAAACCCAGAAATAAAAAGAGAAGTGCTGTATTGATAATGCTTTGTGTCATTTATCCAGGGCAAGTGAAAGATACTCTGGTTATCAGTGATTTTCTTTGTCAAGCATAATTTTTCATGAGTTATACTTTAGCAAAATACTAAATTCAATGTCAATTATTATTATTTTTGCAAATGTCTTCCAAGCAACATAGAAAGAACAAAGGTGGCATTAGTGGGAGAAAAAAGGCAAATGCACATTAACCTAATATTTTAGATCAAAATGTGCCAAATTAATTCAGCTTTAGTGTGTTGGGTTTTATGAACTTCCCAAATTACATGTCTATTTGCTGCTGATGTCTGAAAGACAAGTGGAGGTGAGACCAACAAGAGATTTACACGTACACTGATAGAAAGGGATAATGTTGCATCATTCCGTTTTTCTTCTTGTATATTTATTTCTTATTAGCAGCTTGAAATGATCCATAGATCAGGAAACTGGTAGACACTGCAGACTTTTCTGGTTACTGCCACTCACATATTATCTTTTCTTCAAGGCCCATTCACTCTTAACCAGAATTTCCAACAGAGAGGAGAGTGGAATAGACATGGAAACCTCTAAAAAGTTTAGGCACTATA